ATGTTCAGATCCAAAATGCTATTTAATAATCCTCTGATCATGAGCATGTTTATCATTTGTGAGTAGTTACTTTTTTTCTTGAGGTCACAGGAGAAATCATGTTGCAAGTAATCATGTGAACTTGATATGTGTTCGATATTTTGATAGTATGTATGTTGTGATTGCCTTAGTGGTGTCATGTGAACGTTGACTACATGACACTTCACCATATTTGGGCCTAAGGGAATGCATTGTGGAGTACCAATTAGATGATGGGTTGCGAGAGTGATAGAAGCTTAAACCCTATTTTATGCGTTATTCCGTAAGGGACCGATTGGATCCAAAATTTTAATGCTATGGTTAGAATTTATTCTTAATACTTTTCTCGTAGTTGTAGATGCTTGCGGGAGGGTTAATCATAAGTAGGAGGTTTGTTCAAGTAAGAACAGCACCTAAGCACCGGTCCACCCACATATCAAATTATCAAAGTAGCGAACACAAATTGAACCAACATGATGAAAGTGACTAGATGAAATTCCCGTGTACCCTCAAGAACACTTTTTTTATCATAAGAGACCGTTTTGGCCTGTCCTTTGCCTCAAATGGATTGGGCTACCTTGCTGCACTTTTGCTACTACTATCGTTACTTGCTCGTTACAAATTATCTTGCTATCAAACTACTCTGCTACTTACAATTCTAGCACTTGCAGACATTACCTTGTTAAAAACCACTTGTCATTTCCTTCTGCTCCTCGTTGGGTTCGACACTCTTACTTATCGAAAAGAGCTACAATTGATCCCCTATACTTGTGGGTCATCACGGGTGGGGCGGAGCACGGAGACGGGTGGAGATGGAGTGGAGAGGGCAGGCTGCCGGCGAGGGAAATGAGGCGTGTAGGGGCCTCTGGATGGTGGTGGTGGCTGGTTAGGGAGGTGAATTGGAGTATGGGAGGGTGGAGGTGCTCAAACCGATCTAGGCCAAGGCGTAGGCGATGGTGGCCGTGTAGCAAAATTGGAGAGGGAGAGGGCGAGAGCTTCGGCTAGGAGGGAGCTGGGAGGGAAAGTGAGATGGTGCAAGTTTGAGAGGAGCCCTAGGGGTCCTTATACAGGCCGGAGGCGAGGCCAGGGATAAGGAAGCCGTCGACCATGGCCGGGGTCCAGAGCTAGCTCTGGCAAGCGATGGGGCAAGCCGGCGCGGGCTACTCGTCACGGACTCGTAGGGGCGCAGATGTCGGCCGCTAGAGGCTGTGAAGAGCGAAGGGAGGGGCTCGGCCGCGAGGGCACGAGCGAACTTGAGCTCGATTGGATTCTGCAGGAGATGATGGCGATGCGATAGTGAGCTCCGGTGGATTCTAGGAAAGGTAAGGGGTCCGGGGAGGCATAGGGGATTAGGCCAGCGCAATCGCTTGGCTGGACGCGCCGAGGGCCGGCTGTGGGAGCGGACGGCGACGAGCGTGGCACTGCTCGCGTCCAGAGTGTGTTGGCAGCATGCCAAACACGTGGCCACCACTGGCATTAGGGGCTCCGGGCAAAATTGGTAGATCTTGCCTTGTCTGGTGTGTAGGGCATAGGTGGAAGGTTCTAGGGGTGCAGAGGTAGGGACCTAGATTGACGGGATAACGACTAGAGATTCTAGAAGATGTTTCTGCTACCAAGTGTTTGTAATTTGCCATTTGAATTTTGTGTAGCTAATGGACAAGTGTAGCTAGCACTTCCTCTGTAAGCTTCATTTCTGGACAGAAACTTTGGGAAGTTGTTGGGTTCAAATGGTGTGGTAGGAAATGCTGAAAATGAGGTGGTAGTGGTGATTTGTCATGGTTGAGCATCATGACAAATTTTAGCTCATTTGGGTGCATGCAAAATATACTTCCTTCACAATGTCATTATCTGGATGCAAACTTTGGAAAATTGTGAAGGGAGTTGTGGTGGGTGTATGCTGCTCAAATTTGGTGGATGGTCATGAGGTGCATGTATGTTTGTGCATGCAAAATTTCAGCTTCAGTGGACAATGGCAAAATACACTTGCTTCACAACTTGGTAGAGTTGGCAAAAACCCTAACTGGATGCTCTAGTCAAGGCTAGGATTGGGTTTAGGCATTAGTGGATGGAAATGGTGAAGGTATGGGTAGGAGGAGATCCAAAAATAATTTGGTGGTTTGTGGTGCAAGGCAAATGGGTCTTGCAGTGTAATGGTGGCTTATAGGGTTTAAAATACTACGGAGGGCAATTAGGGTTTTGGGGCTAAACCCTAATTCCAAGTAACTAGGCAAGTCAATACTCTAACATAAACACAAGAGTGGAAATAAAACCCAAGAACACCAAAATAAAATGACAGGTGTCAGCTCTGGAAAAGGAATTCTCCGGGACTGAAAACCGGGGTGTTACAAACCTACCCCTCTTAAGAAAATCTCGTCCTCAAGATTTCCGGGTTTACCTTTCCCGGAAGGAAACATACCTTGGGGGTTTCTATGGATGTTGGATGTCTTGCTCCTTTGTGAATACTGACAATTTCTAACTGCCTTGATTCATACCGCAATGCTGGATCTCGAGAATTATTGGGGTTGAATTCTGATCATCTGACACCAATCCTTTCTGATATCATCTTCGATGTATCCTGTCCTATTGATGATTTGATATCAAGCCTTGCTACTGGGATTGTCCATCTGGTATTGACATGATTTTCTGTGTTGATCCTATGCGTTGAATCGTCCTTGTGACGGTTGTGTCGGTGTCTTCCCACTTGTTGAAATAACTGTTTACCCTGCCAACGTCCATGTGTCAATAGTGGCTTGTCGGGCTCATACTGCCATTGTGGTGTCGTATCCGGTTGGCCCAGTTTACTGATAGTGTCATGTGTTGTCCGGTGATTCGTGTATCGAGTTTTTGCGGCTTGGTCTGTGACGGGTTCTGGCTATATATCTGGCTTCTTCAACCATGCCCACAAGGTGTTCGACATTTCTCCGCAAGGTACAAATGGACAGTGGCGACGAGTACTTTTTCAACAATTTCATTTGCGATTCAGATGACTCGTCGTCCGGCGGTGAGGAGATGGTGGTTGCTGTTTGGGCGTCCATGACCACATTAGTAGGTAGCGGCCGGTGTTTCGGGCCTCGACTATGGGGCATACTCCGGCGTTCAATCACAACAGAGAGAGCGGTTATTGCCTACTCTGGCGGGACTACTTCCAGTCCCCTGGCCCGCTCTTCAAACACAACCTATTCCGGTGCCGCTTTCGGACAGCTAGACATTTGTTCAACCGTATCCGGGAGGGTTGGTGGCGTACGATAACTATTTCGAGCATAAGGAGGATGCTCTGGGAAAGGTTGGCTTCTACTTAGTGGACTACTCTTGTGAAGATAATCCCCAACCCAATAGGAGAGAAGAGGAAGGGATTTGCCCAAGCACAAGGGAGTGCTAGAAAGGATGTGGAGCGTGCTTTCGGTGTTTTTCAATCTAGATCGGTGTCCTGCTAGAACATGGAGCACAAAGAAATTATGGGAGAGGATGACTGCTTGTGTGATCATGCACAACGTGATCGTAGAGGATGAGAGCGAGGATGAAATCTATGATCAAGGGTTTCAATTTCAGGGTGAAAATGTTGTGCCTATGCATGGAGGAGCGACAACGTTTGCACGCACAGTTCACCGAATTTTATCATCAAATACGTGATTGGAAAACTCACATTTAACTACAAGATGATTTGGTTTAGCATATGTAGGCTCACGTCGGGAACCAATAGATGTATCAACTTTTTTTTCAAATGTATTTGTGACCATTTTAGCTTGTAAGCCATGCAATATTGTTTGGTTGTGAAACTATGAAATATTTGTATTTGTTCGTATTATGTGAACTTTGATTGTGAAACTATGAAATAGTTGTACTTGTTTAAATTATGTGAACTTTGGTTATAAAACTTTGAGTATATAAGCGCGTTGGGAGCACCGTCAACCCAAACACGAAAGAAGCCGTACACACCGACCCAAACAAACAAACTGCGTGTTGGTTTAGGTCGACACGTTGGAGTTGCTCTAACAGCCTACCCTAGCATGAAACGGTGCAAAATAAGTGCTACTCCTTGCATTGGACTGCAACGCCGTCCTCTCTGATGAGCTATATAGGCTTGTGTTTGGTTGAGTTGGTAAAAAGAAGCAGTTGAGTTGGGTTATGGCAATTGGCAATTGGCAAGGCAGTGGAGTGGAGTCACACTGTGTGCGTGGGCGTGCGTCGTGCGGAGCCGTATCCGATTCTTATTCCCGCCTGCCTGGTAAACCGGTCACGAGAAAAGCAGGCCCGCCTTTTTGCTTGGATACGTGGTACTCTCATTAGCCCAACCCCAACGGAAATGAGCACTGTGCTAGACAGGTAGGGTGCACATTTTCGTGCTGGGAGAAAATGAAGTTGCACGTTTTTGTACGTCCTAGTACTCCATCCATACCTACATGCCTTTCTTTTGTCACTGGCAATTACACCTAGTGTATCCATAACGTAGCGTATGCAGATTTTCTGAAAAGTCAAACATTACAAACTTTAGAGTTTCCACGTGTGACGTGGGAGGAGAGGTTGTCCTCTTGATGTATCTAAGAAGTAAGAATATGTATTTAATATTCTAGATGTATAAGTTTTTCTCTACAAACTTGATCAAAGTTTATGAAGTTTGATTTTTTTTTTTAAAAATGCACTGAACAATGGCTACTGCCTGCCTACTGGTAAGGAGCACAGGGAGGAAGAAGAAACAAGGGGAGGTAAAGAAAAGAAGAAGAAAAATGGTCGTCCTGCTCTCTCCCTCCCTCTCTCTTAACGGTATGATTAGGATTAGGGTGGTGCCCGACAGCGAGTCATGGAGTTAAACAAGAGGAGAGGTCTCGCTCGCGCGCCTTTATAACTCTCTCCCCCTCGCCATCCATTACTCACCATCACCACCACCCTCTTCATCCTCCTCCAACCGGAACCTCACCAACTCCACCTCCTCCTCCTGCTGCTGCCGCTGTCTCTCTCGCGCGCGCGCCACAGCTGAAGCCAGAATGCAGTCCAGGCACCGGGTGTTCGCCGAGGACCTGCTCCTGGCGCAGCTGCAGGGGGAGGACCACTTCGACAGCGTGCCGGACTCGCTGGTGCTCCTCATCTTCAACAAGCTCGCCGACGCGCGCTCGCTCGGCCGCTGCTCCGCCGTCTCGCGCCGCTTCAACGCGCTCGTCCCGCTCGTCGACGACGCCTGCCTCCGCATCGACCGCGTCATCGCCGCCGCCGACGCCGACGACGCGCTCGCCCTCCCGCGCCAGCGCGGCGTCCTCTCCGGCCTCCTCAAGACCGTGCTCCTCGCCGTGCTCAAGCCCTTCGGCGGACACTGCGACGCCGGGGCCAGGCCCGCCGGCCACGCGGCCGCCAAGCACGCGCCGCACCACTCGCCCGCGCAGGTGCTCAAGAACTTCAGCAGCATCCGCAACCTCCGCATGGAGCTCCCAGTCTCCGACGTCGGCACCGACGACGGCGTCCTCCTCAGGTGGAAGGCCGTCTTCGGCACCACGCTCCAGAGCTGCGTCATCCTGGGCGGGACAAGGCTGGAGCACGCCTCGCACCCGCCCTCCGCCTCCGCCTCCGCCTCCGGGGCCCCGGACGAGCACGACGCCTCGCAGGGGGACGACGACAATGGGAGCATACCCGAGTCCTTCTACACCAACGGCGGGCTGAAGCTGCGCGTGGTGTGGACCATCAGCTCGCTCATCGCTGCGGCCACCAGGCACTACCTCCTCCGCGAGATCGTCAAGGAGCACCCCACCCTGGAGCGCGTGGAGCTGACGGACGCGCACGGCCAGGGCACGCTGTGCATGGAGCGCCCGCAGCTCAAGGAGTTCACCGACAAGCCGCTCGCCGCCGCCGCCGCCGCCGCCAACCGCACGCAGGTGCCGGCCTGCAACATGAAGCTCCGATACGCGCCCATGCTGGAGCTGTCAGACGGGACGAGGATCCAGGGCGCGACGCTGGTGGTGATCAAGCCCGTGGGCGAGGCCGGCGGCATCGGCGGTGGGCGCAAGGAGCTGGACGAGTTCGTGGCCGGCGCCTTCGACGGGCCCTTCAGGGAGGCCGTGGCGATGCTCAGCAAGCGCCGCACCTACCTGCTAGAGATGAACGGATTCTAATCCTTGCGCGATGGCGATGGCGATGGCGATGGCGATGGCCACCGGATAGATTGCTCTGCTCTGTTGGCTTCAGCTCTGCTCAGTGGCAGGCAGGCAGGCAGGCACACCGAGGTGTTACTTGTTGTTTGTAACAGCAGCGATCATGTCTCATACTACGTAGTATCTCATTTCTTCGCTACTGCCTTAGCATCATTTCGTTGCGGTGATGTGATGTGATCGATTAATGGATGAATGAAATGAAGTGATACGACATTACCACATAGTACTTACTATATCATTGTTCTCAATATAAAATTGTCTGCAATTTATACTACAGTAGTGAATAAGAAGTTGAGCTTTCCTCATCAACATGAAAAGGAGGAGACTGCATATCTAAACCGAGGTAGTGTGAGTTTGTGACCAGGAAACTAAACCACTGGTGCTTCAGGATAAGCTCCCACGTTGGTGCGGCCCTGAATTTGCATTTGCTCCTATCCTAATCCAATTGTCAAGAATGGTAATCCTATTGCTTCTCTCTTGCACTCTCTAACCCTTGTTCCTAGCCGGACTGAGATGAGAGTTACTTAGTGTTGGGGATAAGCTTTCCGCGATGCACACAATATCCATCCATACAGCAATTCGGATCGGCTTACTTACTTGATCTGCACTGCACATTCTTGTGCCAGACTAGGCAAATCTATTCCGGAGTGCATATGCTACTACTACTTTTTCTTTGTGTTGTACTAGTAGTAATGTAATCCACGCACGCATTATTGACCCGGAATTGGACGAGATGGACATTGTCAAAATGCTTGCTGTGTGGGAGGCAGATGAGATGCCTTGATCTTTATTATTATGTGATAATCATCCTTGACTTGTGGGAGGAGGAAGGCACCAAAACTGTGTAAGGATGGAGATAATGGCATGCTTTGCTGGGTTTGCATTGTGAGCTGCTGTGGATGACATGTGTGTGTCGCGATTACAGAGGGGGTTAGGCTAGACATAGCATGTTTTCCAGCTGTTTGATTCCTTGGGCTATCCATGAGTTCCTGTTGGTTACCAACCACCGGTGCTAGTGATTGTTGGTTGGATGAGCATGCATTTTGGTAGCACTATATATATTTTTTGGCGTTAGGTTAGTGACTGCGTAAAACAAAACGCATTTTCTTGTGTTGATGTAATGTAATGGAGCAGCTGTGCTGTGCTGTGCTGTGATCCTGGATTTCATTGATTAATCTGGTCTGTCTGTTGTGGAGGAGCTGGTGGAGGAGTGCGCTGCGAAGTTAGAGGAAGAAGAAGAAAAGGTAAGCGAGGGAGAGTACGCTCTGTTGCTGCTACTCCAATAAGGATTAGTTTTTGCACAAGTGTACTAAAATGAAATGAAATGGATGAAAAGGAAACATTCTAGGGCTTTTGGACGGTGGTTGGGTTAAAGGCCAATCGCTTTGCTCATGTTCTTCTCCGTCTGTCTGTCTGTCTGTGTAATGGGTTATGGCCACTGATGTGTGTGATCCCTGATGGACTCCATCTAATCTAATGGGTAATGACAGAAACTGGAGCAATGAGCCGGCACAGGCACAGCAAACAGTGCCAGAATCATGATGGGCATGAATGCTACTTAACACTTAACAGCACACCCATCATCATCAGCTAAAATCACCAACATTAAGACCATGCATCGTCTCAACTGTCTTGAGCAACAAGCACTCAGCAAGCCATCTATCTCAAATTCTCAAGGATGGATGGATAGACACCCGGATCGTTCTCGCCATGCATGCATGTGAGCATTATCCAGACGGACAGACATGTTGAGGCCTGAAACCACATCCAGCCAGGTCAACCTTCATCTCATTTCCCGTGGCTAATTAAACCAACGGCCGCATATGCATTTGCATTGGTGGTGTGGTGTGCAGGACGAGGGAATATTAGTCCCGCTCGCCACATGGGCTAATAAACTACTACTAGTACTAGTACATTGCGGTTAGTCTCTAATCCGTATCTTCAAAAACTATTAGCCTCCAGCGTGGCGTCGCTGGCCTTCTCTTGTCTTGCCGCTGGAAGAAGAAGAAGAAGAAGAAGAAAAGAGAGAATGTATTCGGCTATCCAGAAAGGCTACTTCATCGGCTTTATTATACTAATGATGAAAAGAATAACATATGGTGTCTATATTTTTCATCCACCAACATAGCTCTCCCTTTCAAACTAGCGGCACGAAACTAGATAGATATATGCTACACATATTGCATACAAGTTTAAAGAAGCAGAAGGATAAATCATACTACTACTACTGGTTGCGTCTGAACCTGTCGTGATCACAGCTTGTCTATTCGCTGAAGGAACTCTAGTAGCAGTGGCAGAGAATATATGTCCACTAAGGAACGGGGACAGGAACATGGGCCACAATGGCAATTCCCGGGCCTGCTCGACCATATTGAGTTTTTATATGTAAGCTTGTAAAGCAACAGCATCATCACCTAATAAATCAATCCATCTCTCGTACCACCACCGGTGGTATTTAAACAACAGCTGTTGTCCTGAAGCGAAGCGGTGGAAAGGAGCTGTTTCCCTGTAGATTAATGAATGAATGGATGAGTGAGCTAACCCTAACTCCAGCCGTCTCGTCTGGAGCAAACAATCACAGTCGGAGAGGGACACACACACACACACACTTGAGGATCTTCAGACGGGAATAATTAAATTATTATTTATATTTCACGCCCGCCCATATCGTCGACGTATCACATCGCAATGGTGGTTTTAAAACTGTGCGCGTTTAATGTGCTCCGATGCTCTTAAATTGGAATAGATAGTTGTTGTTTTTTTCGAAGAAGGCGTGGAGCGGAAGAGATGGTGACAGGGGGCCAATTTCGTACGCAGTACTGCTACATTTGGTGCCACGCTCGCGTCCTGAGGGCGCATCGTTTATACGATGGTCGATGATACTACGTACATACGCTTTTCCCATTGAGTAATGTATATACTAGGAGCACTTTTTTGCTCCACGGAGTGCTTGTTCCTAGCATTGAAACTGAAATAGAAACTGAATCCAACACTCAACAGTCGTAATGAGCTTACAAAGTAGTAGTAGCAGGAGTAGAGTAGAGTGGCATCGTGCCCGGAGACATCATCCTTTTGCCACTCCACCATTGATTGATTGATCCGACCGGGACACTCCACCCACGCTACACTGGGCTGCGTCGTCGGAGTCGGAGGGAGGGAGAGAGAGCACAGCAGTTGCTCCGACAGAGCGATCACTCTCGCATGGCATCGCATCATTTGATGGATGGATGGATCCAACTTTGGTGATATATATTCCTCCTGTCCGGGCCTTTGGCGGCCAGGAACATGAGCACATTCCCCCACTCCGATCGCTCTCACGCAATTAAGCCCGATGCCCGCCTGCTTGTTCCCCTCCGCCTCCGTGTCCCTCCCTTGTTCCATTCGTCTCCTCCCGCTTTCTGCTCTCTTTCTTTCTTTTGATGATCCTCTTCATCTGACAAGGAAAAAGGCAAGGATGATGATGTGATGGGGGGCTTTCCCTGCCGGCGATGACCGTGCGTGGGATTGGGATTGGGATTGGGATTGGGGATCCCATGATACGTCCTTCTCCGCGGTGATGGCACCGCCGCGCCGGGGGAAGGCGACGAATCCACAAGCCCACTGCGCGCGCACCACACGACACTCGCGCCTATTTTCGCACGTTTCACGCAAGCCGCCACCAAATATACCGGCAAATGTACTGTATTTGGTCAAGTTTTCATAAGGCGGCGGCCTGACACAAGTAATAGTATTGCCAATCTATCATCTACTACTCCTATATCGTACCATGACATACGGCGGAACAGATCAAAATGGAGTTTTCAGCAACGTTGAGTTGAGGGTTTTGAGTATGTAAAATGTTGTTACACAAGACTTTGATGACCTATAACACAAACACTGCGATCCGACTGCTTACACAAGAAAGAAACAAGAAACCTCTATGTTCTGGGATCAAATAATTAGCAAAAGTCGACCAACTAGGAACTGTATTACAATAATATAATATTGACCAAAATTCCTCCTGAGCTCTCTGCTCGCCTTTCCAGGGCAGCTCAGCTTCTGGCTACCGTCCTACTGGCTGCCTGCCTGCCTAGATGCTGCTCAACTTGGATTTACCCCAGCTTTCCGATCTCCATCTTCTTCTTGATCGCACGATGACCATGGTACACAAAAGAATCTATGATGCCTGCCACGGTGAATATGCCTGCCACCAGAGTGAAGATCAACCATGGGTTAGAAATTTCTATCACCTCTGTCATGCGGATATATTTTGGAAGGAAAGCACCAACGTATGGTTACAAGTGTATCACACACCTCCAACAATGGCACATATGTTTGTCAGGAAGTGAAGAAGCGATGTGTTCTCTTCAGTAAAATCAACCTGTCAAAGTGCCACCTCATGATAAGAAACAAACGAACCTAATGGATTAAATGCAGTAGTGTATGCTTCTTTTCGAGCATACAGCACCATATATATAGTCATGATATAGGTCTCTTTTTGGGGGGGCGGACAAGCTTTGTTTCTATACAAAGTTGCAGACTATCAGTAGATGAACTCTCCTTAAGTGCAGTTCAAGCTTCAACAGTAGCAACATAAAATAAAAAGAGGTCCTTTCCTAACCTGAATTGGTGAAAATTCGTAGAAGAAATATACACCGGGCGGGGGCCTCGGGAGGCCAATTGCTTCTCTGAAGTGCTCCGTCACAGAAAACTGCACATGGAAGTTAAGTATTGGCCAGAAACTTTGGCTTGGTAATAAAAAGTAAACATTAAAAAAACCATGATGTTTACCTGATTTGAGTGAATCTTTCGCCCCCTAATATCTGTATAGATAGTAGGAACAACCTGTATAAAAAAGAGATGATTAGCAAACTGACGCAGAAGGTCGGCATCTCTTCATAAACATAGCAGCGTAATAGTGAACAGAACAATCGACTAGTTGTACTGAACTGGGTTTTCCCCTTTTATTTTCTAATTTGTAAGACTCTGTTCCGTTAACCCAGCTCCCCGTTTGGGAGGCGTGTGCAGACCAATTGAGGAATATGATAGCTTGATCAGTGTCTAACATCTTACCTTCACAAAATACTGGTACATCCCTGTTAATCCAGTTGTCTGCTCCTGTTTCCACTCTACACTGAAATACTCGAGAGAATCAGGGACATGGAAAATTGTGAACCAAAGAGAGACAAAAAAAAGTTGTTCGGCTTCATGAATTGAGAAACTGATCAGTAAGCACAGAATCGTACCCATCAAGAGGATTGATAACACCAGGAAACTCTTTCCCAAAGGACAGTTTGTTTATCTTGTGGCTTATCTGTTTCAGGGAAAGGGGGTAGTCGGCCATTAAAGGTCCATGTTTACGTTCAATACAATAATTGGACTGTAAATAGAAGGAAATAATTCTACTTGCATTGTAATTTTCTGGCTGGAAGTTCAACATATCTTGAAGGAAGTTGAATGCATGGTCCAAGCTTTTTCCTGGGGCAAAGTGAAAATTTCCAGCAACTTTATTGACATCTACAAACCCATGAATGTTGCAACCTTCGCCTTGTTCGTCTTTTAACCTTTGAACGAAGCCCTCTCTCTTGCACTGAAGAGCGTGTAAAGAAAGGAAAATAACAATAAGCAAAATACCAAAAGGCAGTCCACACTGATCAGTGGCAGACAGCAGCGACAGTAAACTAACTTCATAAAAGAACGGAACAGAATGCAATAATAAGCTAAAGGGATTTATATATTCATGTGACTTTCAAAAAATTAATCAATGTGTTCTAAATAGAAGCTAATGAGAAGTGTGATATTTACCTAACAATAACACAAAAACAGTTGTATTATAAAATTCTTCTTTTGATGAACGCACACTTCATAGCCAATGGGAATGCTTACTAGCATATCACTAGATGAAGACCAAGTTACTACTAGCATATGACAACATCAGGATGAATCTGTTAAGTATGAAGATACATGACTTAACGTATGTCGCAGGTACAAATTAGTCAGCTTGTGCTCTACCACATGTGGTTTGCTGAGTTTATAATTAACTGTTGTAAGCTATTGCTTTAATAACTTCCTTTTTAGTAGATAAACAGACAGAGGACCCAAGGAATACATCACATGTCACTATGGGGAACTACAGAGATAGTATTTGCTAAGAACAATGTACAGGAACAAGATTATGCTATCAAATAGAAGTGGAGGAACATGAATGTCCAATACCTGATCAATTGATTCTACGTTAGTGAGTGCCCAACCTTTCTTCCGATAGGAATCACGAACTTCTTCACAGGAGTTACAACACTGGTCATCTGACTGGTATAATTGTAAGTGCAATATTAATGATATTTTCAATCTAAATGAAATTATTGCAGTAATAAGCTTAAGTATATGGTCAGGGTCATAAGATTGACATAAACACATGATATCATTGCACTAGAGATACCTACCTCTTCGGAACCATAACAAGACCCACAGTAAACCTCATTGTGGTCAAGCCTTCCACCATGATTCTGCAATGGTCTTTCAATCTAGAAGAGGATCCAGAAGTTAGCTCAAAGTCAAGGAAGAATGATACCCCATTACATGCATATGTTGTGCACATATATTTAATCTTTAATAGGAAAAACATATCAGTCACTTCAAGGCACCACCCACCAGGCCACCATGCTCTGAATATGCACGAATTGTAATTGGTTTCTCAATTGTGTTTTTTTTTTTTTTGAGAATCACAGTACAGACGCACGCTCACAAATATGTACATACACTCACCCCTATGAACGCACACATGCACACCCTACCCCTATGAAAACCTCTGAAAGACTGAGCCGGCGGGTCTTGAGATTGACAAAGCGTCAAACCTCCTAACCATCCAACCACAGGTTGGTTCTGTGTTGTGGTTTCCAATATATAACATGAAGAGTTACTCCCTGTGTTTCAAATATACGGCCTATTCTTGTGGTTTGCTATTAACAAATACTATAACATGCATGCAAATTTAAGATTTTGTTTTCTTTTATTTAATCATATTCCCTCCTCCTTTAACATCAATGAGTAAACAACCATAATAACACCATGAATAGCATGGTCCTTCAAATATTGTTTCAGTTGCGTGGCCTACTTGTTGGTCCCCGTACTTGAAAAAATATGCATTATAAGCACAAACAAAGGGAGTAATACAGTAATACTTTATATTTCAACCCTAGGTGGTTCTCAAAAGGCATAACATGAACAGTCACTATCAACTGCAAGGCAGCTAGCGAGCTTACAATACAAGCATTCAAAATCCATGGAGGCAAAACTCATCAGCGATAGTATCGGCTATCTTGAGAGTAAAGAAAAAGATTCACAAATTCAAGATCTGATTATACTATGATTGATCAATTGCAATGGATCTTGAATTAGCCATGCTAAAACACACAAGCAGTTCAAGTTATCATAAATTGTTAGATAAAAATACAATAGTTTCAATAACACACTACTTCAGTTTGGGAAAACGTACCTTAGGGGAACCAACTCCATCTTTTCTCGATTCAATTACATTACCAAGATGATCAATTCTTTTCTTCATTATGTCATGTCTCTGCAAAGTAGTCATTCAGCATCTCAAACAAGATAACAGATATATGCAGTAGAGCTCGGCAAACATTTTACATGATGATAAAAATAGAAAAGAGGGAAACTGTTGAAAAGTGTATCACATACTATATCATAATGTTGCTCTCCACTGACATCCATAGTATCAATAGCAACAAGAGAACAGGGAAGAGCGGGGAATGTAACATCAAACTGCAAAAACAAACATGTTTATTAGCAATGTGAAAAGAATGGAAAGTGTCTCACCAGGAATGGCATATATGGTCTGGGCTTTGACGGCTTGGCAAATATTTTCAGCTAGCTGGCTATCACTAGTTATTTAAGGTTCTTATGACAGATCGCCCATACAACATCTAAGAATATCAAGCTCATTATTTCCCAACCTGTGGAGGTCTGGACTAGAAAATGAAGGCTGTCTAAGTCTAACAAGCAAATCAGTTCCAGACATTGTCAGAACGGAAGGTAAATAGAGTTTTAGAATATACAAAAAATGAAGCCAAACTGATAAAAATGCGCAATTGAGTATAATAAGATCTTAGTTACATGCTTTCAAAACGTCTAACAAGCATGGAAGGACCAACATTAAACACCAAAGAAATAGACGAAACTCGCTAGAAGTACCAGGCAAATGGAAAGTTTGGAATGACAGAATGAGCATCTGCACTAACATTGATATGTAACCTTTCCCCTCTTGAGGTATCAACTGTGAGCTTACTCTCTGTAGCAGCATATAGATACAACCCTGCATATAAGTTAACACAGCAATAAGTTAATGCATAATGTGACCAAAGGGAAGCACCGCATTTCAGGAAAATATAGTTGCAACATGTAACAAGACCATCCCCCTTTACAGTTTTAGCGTGCCAAATTAATTTATGAGCATAGTAAGATGGTAAGACACTGCATCGCTGCACCTTATATTGATCCTAAAAATCCTGAAACCTGTAGTGAGAACAAAATTATAGGTGCCCCCAATCTAATTCAACTCCAATTGGTTACATCAAAGTATATCAAATAAGTAATGGAACTCCATTTCTAGTACTCCCTCCGTCCCACGATGGTAGCTTATATGTTAACTAAACAAAGAAAAGAACTTCACCATGGTAGCAGCATAGCCAATCTAATGGATGCAAGATTAACCACATCAGCACATCCACACACAAATGTGCACGCACACACCATCCCGGGACTCTGATGTCATCAACTCATACATAGCATCAAAATAGAACAAACAGCACCACTGGTAGAACTAGTCTAGTCCAAATGCATCTACCATGATAGTAATAGAATTGCGATTTTTTCATCCACTATTTTAATTTCTCAATTCAAACCAACAACATGGCCAACAAGCATACGTCTCAACCGCATCAAACATGCTCGATTTTCGCACCGCAACGCATGTAATTATCGGAAGGCAAGCAAAGCCATCGGGGACGGGACGGCGTGATCGAACTATGTCGGTGACAGAGTAAACGAAATTAAAAGGGATCTGGGACGGCGATGCGGGAGAGAGGGGATGGTACGTACGGATCTCTGAGAAGAAGAGGAGGAGGATAGCGAGGGAGGAGACGATGGTGATGAGTCCGCCGGAGAGGGTGCGGCTGTAGAAGTCCTCGTTCACCTTGGGGTAAGCGTCGAGGCTCCTCAGCTTGCTCCACAGCTCCATCTCTCCCGCTCACACAGCCAGAGAGATCGCCGGAGCCTTGGGACGAGAGGAGATCTGCGTTGTCGCCGTCGCCGCCGCGACAAAACGGAGAGGGTGTTTCTGCAATTTGTCCGGGAGCAAAGGGGGGGTAATTTCGTTTTGCGAGGCTTTTGTCTGGATTCGTGTAGAAATGCTCCCCACTGGGGCCTCGGGCGTAATTGCCCTGCGACCGTTTGCTTTTTTTTTAACTTTATATATCTCCTCTCTTATATGTTTCAGTTTTTTTTTAGCATCAGTACAGACACAAGCGCTCATATACACGCGCATATACTCATCCCTATGAACGCACACACGCACACCCTAACCCCTATGAGCACCTCCGAGAGACTGAGCCGGCATATCATCTTGAGATTTACGAAGCCACCGTAGGCGCCTCGTCGTTGACGGGAACGTCTCCTTCCACTGAAAGCGCATCGCCGGAAATCCTGAAATAAATCCAGGAATAATGCGAGCACCAGGATTTGAACCCTGGTGGGTTGGGGATACCACTATCCATCTAACCAACTCAACCATAAGTTGATTCGCTCTTAATGTTTCAGTTGGTTGAATAGTATCATGATTTATTTTCGTCTGGTTTATCTTCGTCTCACATCCCATCATCATATCTCCTCACATTGATTTTTTTACCCTTACAATAAAAACTTTCCTGACTTTTTTAAAGTTTTCTAACTAGATACCTTATAAACGGGCAGGAACCGATAGCACATTACCAATAAAAACTTTTCTAACCTTTTCTTCTTTCCTAACTAGCCACGTTACGAATCAGTAGGAACCAATAGCACGTTACCAAACAATAAAATCCAGTTTTCTGGTAATTAATTTTTAATATCAAATTTCCTAATGCAACGATCCGTACTTTCCTAATAATTAAATAAAGTATGCGGTGACAATTTGTCTCGTTTGTTCCTATCCATCCAAAAAAACGCCATTCAACCTACCGTGTTTTTGTAGGGAAAATATCCTAGATTAATAGGACGTGATCGTGGTCTGATTTGATTGCACATGACGCGACGCACTTCGTAAAAGGAGCGTCGCACGCATTCCTCTCCAGACTTCACGGCGCCTCCCATCCTCCATGTCTACTGCCAGACCACGCAATACCTTCTCCCATTCTCCAGCGGTTCCGCATCCCTGCAACACCAACAGGCCCGCAGCCTCCCGGCCGCTGATCCTCCGTCATAGTCTTTGACCCCTCCCCGCACCCCGCCAGCGCGACACCTGCTGCCCCGCTCGCACATGTCGGCGTTGGTCAGTGTCTATCTCGCTTATCCCGCGGCGGAGCTTGCCACATCGTTGTCGGTGCCATGGCCATCTTGCACATGGAGCCACCTCTGCCAACGTCAACGACGAGCGCGACCCCGAGTACTGAGAGGCTATGCGAGGGCGATGAGGCCGAAGAGTCCAAGTTTGTCCCTTGGCCACCACCCTTCGTCTCGCACGCGACCACTGCACCATCTCGCTCGCACCAGCACGACACCCTCGCTACCATCCCTCGAACGACGCCCTATCCTCGCCTCCGGCTGCCTCCTGAATCCCCCCCCCCCATGCTGTCTCACCTCGCCGACTCACTTGCACCTGTCAACCGCCGACGCCGGATCCCGTCTCCATGGTCAGCGTCGTCGGTCGCCTCCCGCTGTCCGGCCACTTCCATCTTCTCAAAGAAGCCGCCAGTCCTCCATCCTCTCAAAGAAGCCGACGGCACCGGGCTCTTGTTGCCGAGTACGCACCTCCCCGTGTCCGGCCGGTGGCAGCATGTCGCATTGGTCGCCATACCACTGAGTAGCCAACGGTAACTGCCTGGAGTGCCTTTCTCTGCCCGAAGATCTCATTTCCGATCTGGATTCCAGCAACTATGGGGCACAATAATCGCCACTTTTGTCTGCATAACCTTGCCATTAATTAATCCAAGTAAGCACTCCTTTTTTGCTTGTTGTATGTACCATGTGATAGTTGCTTGATTGCTTTTGTTGTTGTTGGGACTGGTTATCATGGGAGAGTTGGAGAGAGCACATGGATAAGCAGCTCGCCCGCTTCCTAAACCAAAATTTCGATTTTTGCATGAACGATTGTTCTCTGTTCTCAGACTTTGTTTTGATTTTAGGTCTGTATGTATGAATGGTAGTGTTTGCTCGATGCTGATTGGTATAAGGACTAAAGGATGTATGTAGCTTTTTTATCTGTTGGACAATTGGATGTTTCACACTAACGTAATTGAGTGAGGTTTGGTGTTCAGGACAAGGTTATTAAGAAGGTTGATTTAGCTAGGTCCTGCAGATGCAAAATACAGTACGCGAGATGATTGGATTATCATTTGCGACAATGTTATTGTCATTAATGTTCTAGCGGCATTATTTATAGTCCCCAAGACATTATTTATAGTTCATAATTTTTACATAAATCATAAATCTGAAATGTTCAAGCAAAATCATATGACTTGTTTAGCTCGGAAATTGAGAGATGTAGGAAACTAAATTATTCCATGTCCGAGACATTTCTTTTGAATTCAGTTATCTTCAACATCTTATTCTTAGGGATGTCTAAACTGATATAGAGCAATTAACAGTAGAAATTGTCTCAAGACCCTTAGGAGCTGAATGTAAGCGACATTTGATAAAAACACCCGTCGGTTATCCTTGATGAGAACACTTCCATGAGCGACATTTATCATCATGGAAGTGAACACTTACGTGATGATAATTTTAGTGTTGTCATGGAACGCTTCTACTACAGCACAGGTATGACTATCTTAATGCTGTCATAAAATCGCCATAGATGTATATGCATGACAGAAAACATGACCTACTACGACAAAGACGTATCATCACGGAAGTGTTTTTTTTAGTGAAACCAAGCAATATGATTAAACCCCGTTGTTTTCTCCTTAGTACCAACAATACAAATATGTGCCTTGCTACTGCTCTTGTCACAGAGTGAGGACACCGAAGATTGAACCTACTACTATGCACCACTTCCACTGAAGATCTACTCATAAGCATTACATAGCTATAACAAGGACACATAATAAAATTTCCAAAAAGAATCAATTACTTTCTATGAATAATCTGATCATAAACCCACAATTCATCGGATCCCAACAAACGCATTGCAAGAGAAGATCACATCGAATAGAACTCTGAGGAGAATATTGTATTGAAGATCAAAGTGAGAGAGATAGCCATCTAGCTAATCACTATGGACCCATAGGTCCTATGGTAACTACTCACACATCGTCGGAGATGCAGCAAAGTTGATGTAGAATCCCTCCATGATGAATTCCCACTCTGGCAGAGTACCGGCGAAGGCCTCCAGATGGGATCGCGGAAAAACAGACGCTTGCGGCGGCGGAAAAAGTTGTGAAAGGACATGCGGTGCCCCCATGTGTGGTTTTGGTAATTGATGACATTCTCTATGGACTAATGGTTGCATTGAGTTATATTTGAAGGATTTTTTCCATAGGCATTTCTTGAAGTCCGTGTGTTGGTTTCAAGGAGTTTATGGGTTGACCAAGGTGCTATTAAGGAATTATCCAAAGATTGGTCATGTGAGTGTTGAGCTTATTGCAAGCATGTCTTGAAGAAGAAGATTGTGTGATCATTCATGTTTACCTTCAAGACATCATCCAAACGAAGAGAGTTGGAAAGATTCAAGGTTGATCAAGACTAAGTCAAGAGTGAATCAAGTTGATCAACTCACAAAGAGTAGAAGATGTACCGAGAGGGATCAAGTGATCCCATGGTATGGTAAGCATTGTCCATTGCAGTTTGTGTACTAACCCATGGTCTATGTGAGAGTCTATGTGGGGTTAGGTACGTGTCCATGGGCTTGCGTCAAGAGGATGATATCATACAACCCATGGGAAGGATGACATCAAGTGGTGATCGTCATCAAGATTGTCGTGTGCAAGTTCAAGTGGAGAATCACGAAGAGATCAAGTGCTTGAAGCTTGCCATCCATTGTGGTGTCAATGGACTTGTGAAGATGTGCCGAAGAGTGGCGCACCCATAGTGGAGTATGGGGGAGCAATCATCTAGTCTCCATCGACCCAACGCAATCAAGAAAGGTGGTCCATCTTGAGGAGGACAAGATTGTCATCATCTAGCTCAAGTGGATCATGTGCAAGGAAAAGGTTTGACCTTGATAGGTTTTCTATTTTATCGGTCTCATGGTGGTAGTTGGGAGATCGGGTTATAGGATCGATAGCCGTACTATCAAGGGAGGCTCTCAAGTGAGTAGCTTGATCGTATCGTTCGTCGAGAGCTCAAACCATTGCATCCTTGCATCATGTTTCTTGGTTCTTGTTTGGTTCTCTTTGTGAGTCTTAGAGCTTATGGTCATCTTGATGACAAGCTTGAGTTCATCGAAAACGGAGTTTGCATGCGTCTTCTATGATGTTTTCGGTGTTGGAGGTTTTACCGGTCTTTTCTGAGGAAGGGTTCTCACCATTTTCTTTTAGTCATTTTCTCATTTGCTTCCTATTGGTATTTCTATCAAGATTGTGTTAGCCCTTGTCGCTAGATTTCCAACAAACTTGGTTTCGTCGAATTCGGAGCCCGTTTGCAGAAGTTGTGTTAGTTTTGGTGTTCGGAAAAGGCTGCAGCGGTACTACCGCGGACAGGAGCGGATGTAATTTTTTACTACCACTCTTGGGAGAGGTACTACCACTTGGAGCAGTACTACCGTGGCTACTTCCGTGGCTACTTCCACTCGGGGCCAAAAACTTGTCACAAGTCCAGCGGTGGTAGGTACGGATGTAATTTTTTAGTACCGCTCACAAGCAGTAGTACCGCTACCCTTAGCAGTAGTATCGCTACCCCTAGCGGTAGTATCGTGAGGTCAAGCGGTACTACCGCTCCGACGGTTCTTCTAGCTTTTTTGCCTCCTCGCTGTTGTGTTTCATAGGGCTACTACCGCTCCTTGGAGCGGTAGTACCGCTCGGTGCGGGCTATGAGCATAACGGTTGG